TAAATATAGCGTTTGAGGGGCCAGCAGGTAGTGTGGTGGTTAAGGTGCAGGATCCCACACAGCCAACTCTGTAGTTTGATTTCTAGACCTGGTGGCTTAAAAACATGTCAAGTGTGTGTGTATGTGCATGTGTGCCCCAAAATCCTGAGAAAAGAATGGAGGAGAAGGGATTGCAGCATGGTCATCCCCACTAGGGGGTGATTTTTTACTTTTCCACTCTTTGTCTCTTTCTGGAAAGTGCACACACCCTATGACAAAAGACTATTCAGAAGACTTCAGTCTGTAAGTGTTTATAAGGGCACTTCAAAAATTTCATGAAAAATGGAATTAAAGTATGAGTTTATTTTGGTGCAAAAACTTTGAAATCCAAACATAGTTTTTCCATAATATATTTTGTTCTGTGAATTTTTTGAAGACTCTTCGAGTCATTAGCCACCTGCAGTTTTGTATGGTTAAATTCAACCCAGCAAGCCTCAGAAAATGTGCAGGCCACTGGACAATGTGTTAGTGATACAATGCTGACAATGTTTTGTGGATGCTGCCCTTAAGCTTGGAGTGTAATAAGAGTAATAGATTGCTAAAAACAATAACAATTTCAGCAGCCCAAGTAGCATCATGGTGGAGTTAGGGAGAGATCAAGGTTGATGGTGGCTAAAAGTAGGAAGTAGAGGTGTTTCCAATTTTAGATGACAACTGATTTGTTTTTAGTATACAATTTTGAGCATCTCAAGTCAAATAAAAGAGCATAGTAGGATGAAATAATGTAATTTATTCAGGAAATGACGAGTAAGTAGTTTGTATTTCTGAATGTCAGTTGTAGCCAAGAAATAGTCACCAGTGAGAGGCTAGATCATGAAGGGTTTTAGGTGCTGGCCTAAAGGCTTTGTGACTATAAATATAGCGTTTGAGGGGCCAGCAGGTAGTGTGGTGGTTAAGGTGCAGGATCCCACACAGCCAACTCTGTAGTTTGATTTCTAGACCTGGTGGCTTAAAAACATGTCAAGTGTGTGTGTATGTGCATGTGTGCCCCAAAATCCTGAGAAAAGAATGGAGGAGAAGGGATTGCAGCATGGTCATCCCCACTAGGGGGTGATTTTTTACTTTTCCACTCTTTGTCTCTTTCTGGAAAGTGCACACACCCTATGACAAAAGAATTCTAAAAAAAAAAAGAAAGAAAGAAAATTAGTATTTGAACGACATTATTCTGAGTGGATTAGCTGAGAATAAGGGTAAAGATAGATACATCATTTGAAGGCTAACAAAATTATCTAGATGAAAGAGGGTTAAATCCACACAGCAATCATCCCAAATCCTATAGAAGTGTGTGAAGGATGGACTAGAAATAAAGAAAATTAATAATGTCAAGGATCCAGTTCAAGAAAGGAATAGCAGGAGGTTTAAAAAACAGGTAAAATGAAGGCGATATGATTATTAAATCTTGGAATGATGATACTAAACCTTGGAATAACCTGAAAGGCATTAGTGGATGCTTCTAATGCCTTTCCCTTGTACCCCTGTTCTTGCTCCTGGCTCAGGTGTTGGTCCAACTTTCCACTGACAGCACTTGCATTTATTTATTTAGTTTGGTATCAGGTAGCTTTTCTTTGACTCCCAGAACTCTTTGTCAGCTTGCTCAGCATCCTAAATGACTCCCCACCTTGCCCAAATAGGCTTCAACTCCTGAAGGACAGGAGCTGGTACCTTAGCCCACAATTCATTCCTCACTGAAAGGGATAACGCTGACTCTCTGTTTCCCAGCAGGATTAAGCTCTGATTATCCCAGTGATAACTTTTTGGATAACAAGGCTTTATTTGCTGCTTTCTCTTCCCTGTCTCACTTCTCTATTTGCCTGTGGGTGTTTTCCAGAACTGCCTCCAAATGTGGAAGGCAAACTAAGACAAAGTGCAACCCAAAGAATGTCTTTACATCAAAAAAACCAGGCCTATAAGTGCAATCTAAGCTGCTAATATAATTAACAGATTTGCATCCGGTTTGAGATGGATGGCCTAAGAAATTAAAGTAGGTATCAGTGAGCTTGGAAATTGTACAGAGCATTGGTAGGTCATCAGAAAAAAAGTAAATAAATAAAAGTCGCATACAACTCTTGATTGTAATCTGTCAGAACTTTAGAAAATGTTTCCATCTTTCATTTTGAAAAGATAAATTCTAATTTCTTCCTATCTTTTGTATTATTTTTTTTAGAGAGAGAGAAATTTGCAACAGGGTGCATGCGCTTACTGGAGAGACAGAGAGACAGAAAGTGAGAAATTGCCCGCCGGGGGGATGGCCACACTGCAATCCCTTCTCCATTCTCCTCTCTGGATCTTGGGCATGCACATACACATGCCCATCACGAGTTTAAACCACGGGGTCCAGGACTTGAACTGTAGTCTATTACATGGGAGTCCAGCGACATAACCATTACGCCATCTGCTGGTCCTATTTTTCCTCATTTTTAAGGTCCATTGATTCCTAGGAAGATATGAAGTTCTGCAAATTTTGGTTACTGGTATTACATCTACTCCTGTGTATCTATATCCACACATCTGTTGGTGAGGTCATCTGTATTCTTGTTATTCAGAGTATGTTCTATGAATCAGCAGCATCAGTTACCTTGGAGTTTGGTAAAATGCTGAATGTCAAACTTTGCTTCAGACTTTCTCAATTAGAATCTGTACTCTCAAGAAAATCCCATTGATATGACCATAATTTGAAGTTGGAGGAGCATTGCTTTAGATGAAGTGATGCTAAGAATACTATGGAAAGATTTTCTTCTACAATACCAAGGGCAAAATGTGCCAAGCTTATGGACTGGAGAGAAGTTCACATAACAAACACTAGGACTATTCCCTGTTGTGAAAATGCAAAATAATTTGGAAAGTAGAGGGAAGAAAACATACCATGGGACCAGCAGTTGGCATAATGGCTATGTTGCTGGACTCCCATGTAGTCAACCGTGGTTCAAGTCCTGGACCTGGTGGCTTAAACCCACACCAGGTGCATGTGCGTGCATGCTCAAAATCCTGAGAGGAGAATGGAGGAGAAGAGATTGCAACATGGCCATCCCCCCTGGGGGGGGTGATTTCTTGCTTTCTGTCTCTCTGTATCTCTTTGTCTTTCTGGCGCGCACACATGCCCTATAGCAAAAACCTCTCAAAAAAAAAAAAAAAAAAGAAAGAAAAGAAAAAAAAGAAAACATACCATTTAGGCTTATTGCACTAGCCAGCCATGATTAACATTTTGGTATAATTTGATATAATTTAGTTTCTTTCATTCACATGAAGTTTTAAAAATGGCAGTAAATTCTATGCAGCCTTTGTATTGCTCCTACTATTTTGTCATGAGAATTGCATCATCTTGTTATCATAATCATCATTTAAAATACTCAACTGGGGGCAGCCAGTGGCATGGTGGTTAAGGTGGCTGAATCTCACATGGCTGACTACATGGCTGGAGTTCCAGACCCAGTGGTTTGAAAAACACTCTGGGTGTGTGTGCATGTGTGGCCAAAGTCTTAAAAGAATGCGGCATGGCCATCTCCCTGGGGAGTGCTTTTTCACTTTCTCTTTCTCTCTCTTTTTTTCTTTGTCTCTCTACGGTGAGTGCATACATCCTATAGCAAGCTAAAAAAAAATCTATCGGGTATATTCATCATAACTTATCTATTTTCAAATAAAAAAAAATAGTATTGGGACCAGCAGATGGCATAGTGGTTAAGGCACTGGACTCCCACATGGTTGACTGAAATTTGAGTCCCGGACCAGGTAGGTTGAAACTCATGCTGGGCAAGTGTGCATGTGTGCCCAAAATCCCGAGAGGAGACTGAAGGAGAAGGGATTGTGCACGGCCATACTCCATAGCAAAAAAACTCTCTCTCTCTCTCTTTCACACACATATACACACACACACACAAATTACAGTATTTTTGATGACCTTTTCGTGCATATACTGTAATTTTCTCTACATTTAAAGCTTTTCCTTACAGTAACTACTCATGAATGCCAGCCTGAATAGTGGGCTTTTCCATTTCCTGGGGTCTGTCTATATGTTATCTTCAGTGAACTTCAAATCTGAATATTACATGATTCCTGTCCTTTATTCTTTGCATCAATGGTCCTCATTTTCCTTTGAAAGGCCAACCACACCTCCTCATGATAACTTTAGATCCATTTCCCTCACTCTTGAATCACTGTGTTTCATTTTCATGACTCCATTTCAGTTCCTGTCCCTGAGTCATCTTCCTCCTGCTAGAATTAAACTCAGAGTCTATATTGTCCATGCAGATGAACCAAGCTGACATGAGGCAGCCATGTTGCCTACCCAGTTTCAAATAGAGGACAACATAATTTTGAGTGACCCTTCCTTGGATTTTTAAAATAAGCTTCCTTTGAATTTTGCCAAAAATCTTTCCATCTGTCAGCTTTAATAAGTGATAAGGTCAAAGAGGACAAGGACTCTTTCATATGTGTTTGGGATAGCACATTTCATTAAATACTATCAAATAGGAAACTAGAGCAGGTGAAGCTGCAAGGTAGCAAAATTGGAGACTACAGATGTGAAATATGCTTTATAATCTAAAATCAGGCCAGAGCAATAGCCACTCAACTACTTTAATACAGAAGTTCTGAACAAGCTAGGAAAGTTATGGGCAGAGATTTCTTCTGATCTCCAGAGCTCATGATTCAGCAAGTCAAGGGTAGCTGTAAGGCAACTACAGTTTTAATACATAGGGAGGATTTTCTGATGCTGATGGTCTGCAGGACTGAATTCTGAAAAGCATTAATTTAGGGTTACCATTGACATTACAGTGTGCATTTGTAGCAGCTGGTAAATGAGAGTGAACTACACTGATTTCAGCACAGCAAAATCTCTAGCTTATTTATATCTCCTAAACTCATATAGTATATAGCAAAAAAACAGTAAAAACAGGGTGGTCACTGAGATTTGTTTGGTTGTTACATTCTGGAGTGCCATATATGGAGGATATGCAACAACTTACATTTTCCTTCTTCATTTCTGCAGAGAACTTTAGTATCATCTGTGTTTTGTATAACTGCAAGCGCTTCACCAGGTTTTACTTGTAAATCTCTGGTCCCCCACTTTTTACAAGTTAAGGAGTCTGTAACTTTGGTTGAATATAGGACTCTAATTTCACCATCATACTGAAAAAATAAAAGAAAGAAAAACATTTAAATTGTTGGTTGATGTACATCAGTACATAAACTCATTTATTGAAAAATTTATTAAGAAGCTCTAAATAAATAGTTCAGTGTTTTCAAAACATAATGTAAGGATATCAAAGAAAAAAATTTGGAGGGGAGGCGAAGTCACTCATAATCTAACCAATCTAATGTAACAACTATTTTTAGTACCTTGCTGTCATAGTTCAAAGGACAGTTAAATTTAGATGATTGTTATAGTGTGTATATTATGCATGTACTATAGCTTCCTTCATCTTTCATAAGAATAAATTTAAATCTAAAATAATTTTTTTAGAAAATAAAGGCATTATGATGTATAACTGTAACATTGATTGTACTTTTAACATGCATTTTCATACATAAAATCATCTGATTTTTCATTGTGGCTTTGAACTTTGTATAATATTTAAATATGACGTACTTTAAACTTTTTTCTGAAGTCTTTTTCTTCTTTTTCCTGTTTTTTTAGCTTCTTAGGGTCTTTTTCTTCTGTTTTGGCTTTTCCAATATTGATTCCTTGACTATAATGGCAGAACACACATAAACAACACTTTGTTACAGAAATATAAAAAGAATAGTGCACAATAGAGACTTAACTCATAACATCACATCTTTGTTAAATTTTGTTTTCAATTAAATTTTTTCTTAGAAATCTTGTAACATTAATTGTAATCAATGATGACCTTATATAACACAGAAGGAATTCTTCAAGGGATTACAGATTATGAGTTAAGATAGATGTGAGTGATTCTCACGAAGTCACTAAATTATAGCTAGCTTGAACATGGCTGCATGTCAGCAGTTTGCTATGATTCAACCTGTCTCCCACTTCCCTATATTTGGTAAGCCTTCCTAGATATTTAAGTTGCTTGTCAATATTACAGAAAAGGCTCCTTTTTAAAAAAAGAACAAACATACTTTTTAAAAGAAACTGATCTTTATGGCTTATAAAATGTATCTATATTTTCCTTTTTTTTTTACATCTACTGAAAAGCCAGAGTGTGAGACAATAAAATATAGGTTGATAAAAACATTTTAGGTAAAAGTTAGGATTTTAGATATTATAAGGAGAAGCTTGTTAAAGGAAATGGCTAATATTGTCTTTATCCTAGTCACTCTTATCACTTGTCTATTTGTATGTGTATGTGTGTGTGTGTGTGTGTGTGTGTGCGTGTATGAGTTTTTAAGGGAAATAAACATTTTCTAAGAGTTTTGAGCAATTGGGAACCAGCAGTTAGCGTAATGGCTATGTCGCTGGACTCCCACGTAGTCGACCGCGGTTCGCGTCCCGGACCCGGTGGCTTAAAACTCACGCCGGGCACGTGTGCGTGCGTGCCCAAGATCCCGGGAGGAGAATGGAGGAGAAGGGATTGCAGCGTGACCATCCCCCCTGGGGGGTGATTTCTCGCTTTCTGTCTCTATGTCTCTCTCTGTCTGTCTGGCGAGCGCATGCGCCCTATAGTGAAAAAAAAAAAAAAAAACCTCTCCAAAAAAAAAAAGAGTTTTGAGCAATTAATAGATTTAATATTAAAAAAAAAACCAAATCAAAAAAAAATCTGGGATCTAGATATAGAAATTCCCTATACAAATAGATACCAATTGGACCAAAGCCACTTATCCTGCAGAAGACGCATATGCTTAAAATAATGATTTTTCCAGCATGAACTCACAGAGGTCACATGAAAGCTTTCATAACATTCCGTTGCTGCTGCCTGATTGTGAACTATCCTAATTTTTATAAAAATTCTCATTTATTCTGAGTGGGGTCCAGAGACCAGGGAACTTTGATAAATTTCTGGAAAAAATGGAATTATAGAAAACAAAATAACTGAAATCCTAGGTAGTTTTCTCACAATATGTATTTTCCATGAATCTTTTGAAGGCTCACCCACTTCTTTACTGGCATACATATTGCCAATGCTCCCCTGGTGATGTCAACTTGTAATTTAAGTTAAGAACACCTTAGTAGAGAGTGGAATTGCTAGGGTTACATATGAGTGTTAGGGAAGGGTCGTGACTCTCTGCAGAAGGTAATTTTAAAACTAAAATATGGTTGAGTGAAAACAATTTCAAACAATGATATTCATTTTTATTTAGGTTATACAAGATAAAGTTTTGCTTGTAACTTATTTATTTCAAATGTTTGATTCTTAATTTTTGAATGTTAGAGTTTAGCTCATCCACTGAGCAAAGAATTAGCACAATATCCAGTCTCCAGTTCTGCATCTGCTCTCAGTACTTCCTCCCTTATGGTCTGTGCACGAGAGCAATGGCTGGTCCAGATTAGTTCTCCAAGGCTGTCAGAATATACATGAATGTTAAAAGTGCTCCACTCTATCTTTAAAAAGAATTTATTGACATTTATTTAAAATAGGATACTATACTATTGACATTTATTTAAAATAGGATACTAAACTGCTTTAGACTCTGAAAATAAGCAATGGGAAATAACACTGGTTTTATCAGATAAGGTTTAATCAACTGGGATTTATTTTGCTTGAAGAACAGAGTCACCACCTGACTCTTGGTTCCTACAGAGCCATTCTGTGGAAGGTGGTGGTATTTCTACAGTAATATAAAACAGAAAAATGCATTAAAAACTGCTGAGAGGGAAGTGACTTCCTGATGGTGAGGAATATTAAACTCGAACGTGTTCCTGAAGATGCGGTTTTCCTTTCATGGAGAACTGAGAGAGGAGAAGGATCCTCCTTTCATCTTTCTTGTTTATTTTGCCTGTCAAACTCATCATCATATACGAACGGCAGCATATTCCCCCCTCAGGTTCTTTGATCAGGATACCTTCTCTAGTTTAATAAAAGTGCTTTGACAATGTTGGTTAAAAAAAAAAATTGATTCACTCACTAATTTTTACCAGTGCAGCTCAGAAGGCATCACTTTCCATAATCCATTTGTTACTTTTATCCTTTAATCAAGTACAAAATCTTTTTATTCACCTTTCTTTTTTCTTGAAAAAGCTAGAGAGGTGTCCTTGTTTTTACAACACAATACCAATCAGATAATCTCCCTTATTTTTTCAAGCATGAGACAGTATCCTACCATGGTATTTTCTATTTGAAAAGAATTTTCAAAAGGCATTCCTTTTGTATTAACCAATCAATTTCATACAGTTTTAGCCTAAAGTTACACTAGAACCTTATGTAAATGAAGAACAGCACTATTCACTGTTGACTATTTTTGTTTTTTTTATTAAATTTGAATGGAGGCTTTGAGAATCTGAGGCTTTCATGAAAAACAGCCATACCTAAAAGTCCTTTCAAAAATCAAATCCTCTTATTTTTCATAAAGGAAGCAATCTTGTAGAGGTCAGAGGTGGCTTGAACAGGGTAAAAGGGGGCTGATATGGAAGTTAAATATATTCCAGACAAAAAAGGTTTTGGGAAAAGAGTACAAATAAAGGGAGGCAATGAATCAGTGAGATCTTTTGTGATCAGTATCTCAAGTATGTTTTCCTGATGAATGAATAAATGAACACAGAATCAGTGAGTCACAGGGTGGAGATTAATCAAGAGACAAGGAACAGATCCAGGCGGAAAGGGGAAGACAAAGGGACAGGAAGGAGGTGAGAGGAGGGAGAGGCTTTAGAGCTACTTATATAAACCGGGCCAAGACGTTACAGCTGGGATCAGAAAGAAACACAGCTTCAGAGGAGACGGAGCAAATATGACTGCATGCAGTACCGATAGTGCAGCCCACCCCCACCACTGAGATTTTATTTCAGTTGATTTTCTTAGTATTCTTATTTTCATTACTTGGCTGTAATGAAGGTTTTTTTTTTTTCTTTTTTCTTTCACTTTCAGTTATTGAAGGTGAATTTTTAAATTGTGATTTCTGGTTTACATATAATCATTGTATATCTACTGTGGGGGTTACAGTATGATTTTTTAAAGCATGCATACAGTGTTAACACTCAAATCAAGGATATAAATGTATTTATCTCATTTTACATTGAACATCATAATATGTTATGCACATGTGATAAGAGTTCTAGTAGGTTTTTGTTTAAGGAGATATTAAATCAATGGCATTTTTTGCTCCACTCCGGTACACAGTTCCATAACCTATTTGACTTATTTACATGCATTCTTGGATCTGCTAATCATTTTCTCATGAACCCCCAGGGAACTTTGATAAATTTCTGGAAAAAATGGAATTATAGAAAACAAAATAACTGAAATCCTAGGTAGTTTTCTCACAATATGTATTTTCCATGAATCTTTTGAAGGCTCACCCACTTCTTTACTGGCATACATATTGCCAATGCTCCCCTGGTGATGTCAACTTGTAATTTAAGTTAAGAACACCTTAGTAGAGAGTGGAATTGCTAGGGTTACATATGAGTGTTAGGGAAGGGTCGTGACTCTCTGCAGAAGGTAATTTTAAAACTAAAATATGGTTGAGTGAAAACAATTTCAAACAATGATATTCATTTTTATTTAGGTTATACAAGATAAAGTTTTGCTTGTAACTTATTTATTTCAAATGTTTGATTCTTAATTTTTGAATGTTAGAGTTTAGCTCATCCACTGAGCAAAGAATTAGCACAATATCCAGTCTCCAGTTCTGCATCTGCTCTCAGTACTTCCTCCCTTATGGTCTGTGCACGAGAGCAATGGCTGGTCCAGATTAGTTCTCCAAGGCTGTCAGAATATACATGAATGTTAAAAGTGCTCCACTCTATCTTTAAAAAGAATTTATTGACATTTATTTAAAATAGGATACTATACTATTGACATTTATTTAAAATAGGATACTAAACTGCTTTAGACTCTGAAAATAAGCAATGGGAAATAACACTGGTTTTATCAGATAAGGTTTAATCAACTGGGATTTATTTTGCTTGAAGAACAGAGTCACCACCTGACTCTTGGTTCCTACAGAGCCATTCTGTGGAAGGTGGTGGTATTTCTACAGTAATATAAAACAGAAAAATGCATTAAAAACTGCTGAGAGGGAAGTGACTTCCTGATGGTGAGGAATATTAAACTCGAACGTGTTCCTGAAGATGCGGTTTTCCTTTCATGGAGAACTGAGAGAGGAGAAGGATCCTCCTTTCATCTTTCTTGTTTATTTTGCCTGTCAAACTCATCATCATATACGAACGGCAGCATATTCCCCCCTCAGGTTCTTTGATCAGGATACCTTCTCTAGTTTAATAAAAGTGCTTTGACAATGTTGGTTAAAAAAAAAAATTGATTCACTCACTAATTTTTACCAGTGCAGCTCAGAAGGCATCACTTTCCATAATCCATTTGTTACTTTTATCCTTTAATCAAGTACAAAATCTTTTTATTCACCTTTCTTTTTTCTTGAAAAAGCTAGAGAGGTGTCCTTGTTTTTACAACACAATACCAATCAGATAATCTCCCTTATTTTTTCAAGCATGAGACAGTATCCTACCATGGTATTTTCTATTTGAAAAGAATTTTCAAAAGGCATTCCTTTTGTATTAACCAATCAATTTCATACAGTTTTAGCCTAAAGTTACACTAGAACCTTATGTAAATGAAGAACAGCACTATTCACTGTTGACTATTTTTGTTTTTTTTATTAAATTTGAATGGAGGCTTTGAGAATCTGAGGCTTTCATGAAAAACAGCCATACCTAAAAGTCCTTTCAAAAATCAAATCCTCTTATTTTTCATAAAGGAAGCAATCTTGTAGAGGTCAGAGGTGGCTTGAACAGGGTAAAAGGGGGCTGATATGGAAGTTAAATATATTCCAGACAAAAAAGGTTTTGGGAAAAGAGTACAAATAAAGGGAGGCAATGAATCAGTGAGATCTTTTGTGATCAGTATCTCAAGTATGTTTTCCTGATGAATGAATAAATGAACACAGAATCAGTGAGTCACAGGGTGGAGATTAATCAAGAGACAAGGAACAGATCCAGGCGGAAAGGGGAAGACAAAGGGACAGGAAGGAGGTGAGAGGAGGGAGAGGCTTTAGAGCTACTTATATAAACCGGGCCAAGACGTTACAGCTGGGATCAGAAAGAAACACAGCTTCAGAGGAGACGGAGCAAATATGACTGCATGCAGTACCGATAGTGCAGCCCACCCCCACCACTGAGATTTTATTTCAGTTGATTTTCTTAGTATTCTTATTTTCATTACTTGGCTGTAATGAAGGTTTTTTTTTTTTCTTTTTTCTTTCACTTTCAGTTATTGAAGGTGAATTTTTAAATTGTGATTTCTGGTTTACATATAATCATTGTATATCTACTGTGGGGGTTACAGTATGATTTTTTAAAGCATGCATACAGTGTTAACACTCAAATCAAGGATATAAATGTATTTATCTCATTTTACATTGAACATCATAATATGTTATGCACATGTGATAAGAGTTCTAGTAGGTTTTTGTTTAAGGAGATATTAAATCAATGGCATTTTTTGCTCCACTCCGGTACACAGTTCCATAACCTATTTGACTTATTTACATGCATTCTTGGATCTGCTAATCATTTTCTCATGAACCCTGGCCCCACCCCCATGCAGCTTCTGGTATTTCCCATTACTCTCTCTGCTCCTATGTCATTGAGTCCTTCGATTTCTGCCAGAGCACAGAATTACCTCATTTCTGCTGATGGAGGAGGGAAGTCAGAGGCATCCACATCATCGTAAACTTCATCTCCAGTGTCTAACAAAAATACATTAAAGGAGGAAACATTGTCAGGATAAATTTTGACATAAACATTCAATTATTTTGTCTGAAGTTTCTTTCGTTTTTCCTTCCGTTACAGATAGGAACAAAGCGAGACAGGCACTCCCAACAGTCTTCATACTGTGGTCCACTCCCAGCCCCTGTCAGTCTGGATCACAGCCAAGCACTCTCAGTGTGTGCATGGAAGCCTTGGAATGCGAACCTGGGACCTTCTTATGTGGGTCCAGCATCACAGAACATCGAGTTACTGCTGCAGCATTGGCTGGCCTCAGAGATGTTTTTAAGATGGAGGTTCCTTCAAGGACAATAAAAGTAATTTTCCTGATGTCTAGGTACCTTTCTCCTAAAAGTATTGTTTGCTTCTAAAAGGGGAGAAGTTCTTATTTCTTTCAATGCATGTGCGAAATTTCCCTCAAAAAATTACTATGATTATAACAATTATTATCTGGAAAAATCAAAACAAGCAAATCAGACAATTACTATAATTATTTCAAGAATCACAAGTACAATGAATGGCAGGAGTAACAAACTGCTCACAAATAAATAACATTATGACCATTGCCAGGGCATGTGGAGATTGAAATCAAGATTCTTCTGGGTTTGAAGTGCTATGATAATATATATCATTATATTTATGTGTTCATGTCAATGCATGCATCTATTTAGCTTTCTCTTTTACGCACTGATCTGTTCTTTATTAACTTCTACCCTACAGTGTTATTAGGAGTGGAACCATCTTCAAATGGAAAGATTAGTTCTACATAAGATACTGCTAACATCAGCAGGTATTGAGAAATCATATTGGTAGAAAACTTCTATGACCTCAACTGGTTCAACAGCGTTTTCAACCCGGAGACATTTCTTCCTTCTAAACCTCTTGTTAGTAAAGTCAGAAAGAATGCATTCTCTCTGCACCTATTAAGCTGTTCCATAGCTAATTAAGCTTAAGAGACAAGTTGAAGAAATTACAAACATTTATAAAAATAATTTTTATATAAGTCTAAATGTTCTCTGGTAGTGGCAAGGAATTGAGTTCATCTAAATTGCCTCTATGTATCTATCTCTTTCTGTGTGTCTGTGTGTGTATATGTTTTCAGGTTAATTAATTTCAAAGGATGAAATTTGCTCACCAATATAGGAAAAAAAATCCATAAAAATACTGTAAAAAATACCATATCATTGGTTTCCAGAAGGAAAAAAACTACTACTCCATGCACATACACTTAAAACATAACTTGAGAACAATAACAACAAAACTCACATGTTTTACTGAAATTTTTATTATTGTTCACTATTCTTTGTGAAGCCACATTTATTAATACTCTTGAATATTATAGATTAGGCTACAATCATATCATCAGGTATGGATCAATCTGAGTTAGTCCCTTACCTATTTTCATACTGATCACTGAAAAGAAAGTTCTAATATCAGATAAAGATCCAGGAGACTAGATCATTTCTGTGTTTGGCTTGCTCTTCGCTATATTTATAAATTATAAATTAAAATAAACAAGCTTTTTGAAAGCTCCAGAATATTTTTGTGAGACAACATTTTATATAAAGTACATTAAAAAATCTTTTAAAGATATGTCTTGGCAGGGATAAAAATAAACTTATCAAAGTTGTACTAAGAAGAAACTGTTTCACATTTAAAATTGCCCAAGTACAATATAAATTATACATTTGAAAAATCAAAGAAATTTGGTTTAGAAGGGCCTTGGTGGCATATAATCTGGTGTGGTTTTATACATATTTCTGCAGAATTTCAATATATCAAGATTGCACTAAAATGGGGCCAACAGGGGACATAGGGATTTTGATGTCCTTTTCATAGGGATTTTGGCATCTTTCTCGGCTCATTTGTCCCTATCTGTAACAGCTCCTGGAAGAACACTTCAAAAACCATCAATCTATTTTATTTTCCTCTTCCCGCTATTTTATTGTTGAGCAACTGTGGCCACCCAAGGTGAAGTTACTTGCCCAGGGTTATGCAATTTACTATTTTTAAAGTCAAGACTTTAATTCACATATGGGAACTACTAGTTTTCCCACTATCCCATCTGCAAGAAATAAAATTTAAAATATACAGTTAGTTTTAATTACTTACCCAATTGTTTAGGAGGAGGAGGGAAACTGGAAAAGAAATGAAAACACAATTATAATCAGATTACTATGAACACAGCCATTGATTCCTTTATTTAGGAAAGGTATGAACAGGTGACAGCCCAGAGACCTATAACAGTCAATCAATCTTTGGACTGTCGTTCCTTTCTCATTCTCCATTTCTCTATGAAGTTCCAGTTGTGATCCATCAATTTGGAATTTAGAGAGACTTGTTTTGGAACACCATAGTTGGTCACAAAGACAAGAACAAGGCAATTTATTTTGCCCACAGACATTAAACCAATGTTTTCAAATTTGTTCTGTGGGGGCTAGGCATACTATCAAAGCAGTGTAAATTAAATGGATTTAATATTTTGGAGCCATTGTGACACGCTTAGCTCTGGCCCCAAAATGTTTGAGTTAAAGGGCAGAAATGTAGAGTCAAAATCAATAGGGGTCATTAAGGCTCTGACCATGTTTCTCTAATATGTACTGATAATCATATTACACTATCCGAACAGGAAAATGGTGAATAAGAAAGGAATATTCATTTATGCTAGAGAGTGAAAGCTTATTAAAAGAAGTGATCTGAAATTAGGGTTAGGTGGTATTTAGTTGCAATAGAAAAAGACCTTTGCTTTAAACCTTCTGAACTGACTTATAAACACACACATATATACACACACTGCTGAAAAAGAGTGGTGCCAAGGACAGGAATGATGGGTTAAAGTAGAGTGTGAGGGAGTCATTAATTAAAATGAACCAAAATCAGAATTGAGTGATGTATAATTGAAGCAGAAAGAAAATAAATAATCTCTTCCTATGTTTCTAAGTAAGGATTATACTTAAGTAATGCCACTCAAGAGAGGATTTTGTGTTATACTCTCTTAAATTTCAAGTATACTGTTTACTGACTTGTTTTGGTGTTTTATAGCAGGGTTAGGAATATTATATGTAATTAACATTTTATAAAGACTTCCGTTAAAAATGTGGCAAATTCATTATATATACATATACACATACATATCGATATGTATATAAAACAGTTTTTGGAGGCCAGCAGGTGGCATGGTGGTTAGGTTGCTGAACTTCCACATGGTCAACTGTGGTTTGAGTCCAATCTGGCAGCTTGCTTTCTATCTCTCTTTCTCTCTCTGTCTATCTCTAGTGAGCACTTATAGCAATGTGCCTTTAAAAAAAATTAAATAAATAACAGACTTCCCTGTACCAAAGAACATGATTAAGATCCTTTAAATTCATATGTATGGAATTTATACTAAAGGGTTATTTGGAGGATGGAAAGAGAAAATTGATGTCTTAGTTTTTATTCAGGATATTTCAAGTAAACTTAGTATAAGAAAAATATAATTCAAGTGGAATTAATATATCACTATTATGAAACAGAGTTACAAAGACTTTAAATACTATATTTGGAGACAAGAAATTCTATCCTTTATTTTTAGCAAATCATGTTTTTAAAGAGAAAGTATATCTTGAGTAATCAATATAAAATATTATATAATACAATGTAGTGTTGAAATTAAAAGTGACTAGATGTGATGCTACAGTTACAAGTCCTACTAAATGGAGTGTTTACGTATGAGTTGTGTGCTTATGAGTGTGAGGGTGTGTGTGTAAACACATATATGTACATGTGTGTATTTTTATGTGTGTTAAGTGGGGAAAGTAAAACATCTTTGAATTATATGATGCTTTTTGAATACCTGGGCTCCTCTAACATAATGCATGAGTTTTGGGATAACACCACAGATGATGCTAAGATGATTGGAAAAAATTATATCCAGATGGCTTAAGCCTACCAGAATTTGGTTATTTGTTATAGAATATTAGTAGCATTTTATTTGATTAATATTAGTGTAGTTATTGTGTGCTGGATTTGATTTGTTGACTCTTACGATGAACCTTCATTATTGTCTGATTCAGAGACTTTAGGTTTTTCTCGTATACTTTTCTTTTTGTCATCTTTTCCCTTTAACTTCTTCAAAATCCCCCAGGACCACGTGCTACTCTTCTCTTCAACCTGTAGCATGGAGCTTTGAGGCATGCAGGCATTGATCAGAATGTAGTAATCAGTGGAGCATGAAGGCACTTTGTGGACATTCAAACTTTTTATAACTATACGGCATTGATCATTTAGGTAATAAATAATTCACAACTCAACAATATGGTGCTATTACACTTTTAGATGATAGTATTTCAATACTACTTCTACTAGGTTGATCATTTTTTTTTTCTACTTGGTAAAATTTCTCTTAGTTCTTAAAATATGAAGCTAAGTTGGTTAGGATTAAATTTTAAACATCAATTTAGTTTTTTCACTATTAAGATTAATATATATTAAATTTCCAAATATGCCATTTCAAAATGGAAAAGAAACATCTATTTTACTTTTAACCTAAAATATTCTTTTTATTATACATCTACATATATTTATTATTAAGCCAAAGAATAAAATGTTCAATAGTCGTTTTACCACAGATAGCATATAGTCTCAACTTACTTGAATTGCCTATAATTACGTTATTTTACAAGAGATAGCCACGTAACTGATAAGTCCTCTAGAGATTATTGTAAAAGTAAATTTTTAGTTAAAAAACAAATAACTGTGGGCCACCAGGTGGCATGGTGGTTAAAAGTATTGAATTCCCACATAGCTGGACTACAGTTCTAGTCCTGGACCTGGTGGTTTGCTTTCTCCCTTCCCCTTTCCATCTCTCTCTCTCTCTCTGGTCAAATTAAAAAATAATAACAAATGGAATTAAATAAATAAATAAATAATTCTTTAAAAATAAAAAAAAAACAAGTAACTGGGAAAGGTTTGACGAACACCCATAACACCTATAATTTATTCCTTTCTCATTTCACTTCTTTCACCATAGCTACTGAGATTCTTCTGAAATAATCTACTACTTCATTTGAAGTGTATGGTACAATTACATTTCCTGATTTACTATTGCTGTCCAATTAACAGTTGAATCATTTTGATAATGTAATAAAGAGCACTCTTTTCTGCTTTTTTACTCTAACTGGAAATCAAGACTAAATTTTAGTATAGGTAGTAATTTGCATAAAGGTAGTTCACTGATTAGTCTTACCTATCATCATTTTCCTCTTCAATCCCATCATAAATGTCGTCATCTGGGGGTGGTGGGAACATCCCTTTATTCGGAGTAGGAGGAAATAATCTGTTAATTTCAGATTTTGACACCATAACGGTCACTCAGATTTTGATAATGCATTTTCTTATTTAACTGCAGAAAGATTCCCTCTTTCATACTTAAATAATAAATAAATAAAAAATACATAAATAAAACACCCTTTATTTTCTCATTCACACATAAATTGTTTTGTTCATCACTTTATAAGGAGTTCTCAGGGCTGAAATGATAAGAAAATGAGGGGTGATAAGAAGTACTTTGGACAAAGAAGAAAGAAATGGGGATGGAAAAAATCCCAAGAAAAAGTAAATTGAATAAAAAATGAGTTAAACATTTATTGTGGAAGAAGATAAGACATGAGATCATAAAATAGATGTTCAGGAAAAGATGCTGATCAAGGTATAATTAAATACAGCAAACAGAATGAAAGGAGAATGTGTATACATTGATGAGAGTGGAAGCAAAAGCAATAAATGTAAGGTGACTTTTTAAATACCTATTATTAAAAGTTAAACCCTTTTTTGTTTCCTTTATTATGCTACACTCTTTAGGAACCTTGCTATTTGGCCAGTTTTTATTTTACAAATGTTTACCGAGTACCTTCTGTGTGCAGGAAGAGTACTTGCAATGAGTTTGAAATCTGAATGTTAGTATGCGAATTTCATTACTGCTAGGTGTTGGCAAGTTGAAATCCCTTATTTTGTTGCTAGGAAACCTATAGGTCTTTAGGAACCATAGCCAAGGTAACCACATAAAGTTGTCTTCCAAACAAGCATATCTGAAAGTGAAGGGGGATGTTATCAACTGTGTCCAGACAACTGGCATCAGTCACGACTGCAGGAGGCACACCGGAAGTGGGTCAGCTCTGAGCTGTAACAAACTTGGAAGACAGTGACTTGCTTAGAGTACAAGCCATTGGCTCCTGGGCTAGTATGCCTCCACCACATTAACATTTTCCTCATTATCTGCAGACTGAAGCATTTTGTCATTAATCTACACAAAAATGTCGAACACTTGTGGAAAAACTACTGAAAACAGTATGTCACTTACCTCCACTTCCACTCTGACTGTGGCTAGGAAAACAAAACAAAACAGAAATATTAAATTAATATATGAATTTAGTTACCAAGGAGAAAAGTATATATATGTTGATCAGTTACATAAAAAGGAAGTAACATTCCAGTCCAAAGTTATTGTGATATTATATGTGAAAAGAAGGAAATAATGCTCCTCTTATAACAAAGGAGTAATAATAACGCAACAATTAAAACAAGCAGAAGACAAAACAAAACAAGTGAGTTACATATGGGATTGGTTGCTTTTAACATTGTCCCATAAGACAGATTTCAGATTAAACTTTAATTCCATTATTCCACTGATGAACTATTTTCATCCCCAGAATAATATTCCAGGAGTCATACGATGATTACCATTGCATTAAATCTGATTGTTTTTCAGTATCTTGAACCCATAGCATTTTACTCTTAGTCCAGTACTTTAATTTTTTTTTTTTTTTTTTTAATGAGAGAGAGGGAGGAAGAGGGAAACAGACAGAGGGAGGCACCGTTTTACACCCATGTTGTACTCCTGCTCTAGTCTCTCAACCCACCATGATTCCAGGTGTACACAATGAAACCTGGGCCTCCCATGTGGCCTCCAGTCTTCCTAGAGGTGGTGCCACCTATATGCCACTGTGGGTGGCACAGGGCTTTTATGTGGTGTGGCTCTTAACCCTAAATCCAGTTAGTTGCTTGTGTTTCTTATTTATTTCCATAATATTCTCTATTTTCTCTATTAGCATTTATAATTGTAGCTCTACTAAAACAAGTTTTACGAGCACAAGGAAAACATGTGGACTCTGAGAACTGGCAACATTTTAGCGGTTATCTATTCAATTCCCTCATTTGGCAGAAAAGAAACTGAGGCTCTTAGAAATTCGATGACCCAGCCCACTCTTCTGCCTACTGCACTCTTTGTATCCCCAAGTTTGCCCTTTGCTTTTTGGGTAATCTGCCTGCAACAGATACCAGAGTTTGATGTCTCAACCATATAGGATGGTTAAAGACTTCTATACAATTCCTAATGTTAAATGTCAGTAAAAGAAATTGATCAGATGGGACCAGTAAATGGTATAATGGTTACATTGCTGGACTCCCATGCAGTTGACCACAGTTCAAGTCCCGGACTTTGACGGCTTAAAACTCATGCTGTGTGCCCAAAATCTTTAGAGGAGAATGGAAGAGAAGGGATTGCAGTGTGATCATTCCTCTTGGGGGGTGATTTCTCACTTTCTGTCTCTCTGGTGAGCACACATGCCCTATAGCAAAAAATCTCTCTCTTAAAAAATATTAATCAGATGCAGATTTTCACCTAATTTATAAATAAAAACATACTATTGTTAATGAAGCTTTGTAGAAAAACATGCTGTTAACATCTTAGTGTAAAAACAGGGGATTGATTTTTGAAGCAGGTGAAGTACCCTCTCTGTGTCCTCGTGTGCCATATTTCACACGGATTTTCTCAGACCTTTCCCTTTGCACACAAAGCCAGCAGTTAGAACAATGTGACGAGATGGGCTGTGGATGGCTGCCACTCCTGGTAGGTATGTTTCATTTTGGAGATTGTCTTAGTTTCTGAAGAAGAGCAACAGGGTTGTCATAATCAGCAGCAAAGTTGCCACCTGCTTATTTCCTTTCTAGGGCAATTCTTCAACTTCCTAAAATGACCTGTTTAAAATGTCACACAGCTGACAGGTGAAGGGGAGGTAATGAGAGAAGAGAAGGGGAAGGAGATTTGAAAGAAGGTTTACTGTGTGATGGAGAGGGTGTTTCTCATTTGCAATTTACTTCCTTCAATGTTTCTATTCATTACAGAAAATGCTCTAGTTGAGAAGAGAGAAAGATAGCTGCTAGGGCTTGTGGTTTTTTTTGTTTTTGTTTTGTTTTGGGTTTTTTTTTGAAAGGTTTTTTTTTTTAAAGGTTTTTTTTTTTTTTTTTTTTTTTTTTTTTTTTTTTTTTTTGCTGTAAGGTGCATGCTCTTGCCAGAGAGACAGACAACCAGAAAGAGAGAAAATCACCCCTCAGGGGGATGGCCATGCCGTAATCCCTTCTCCATTCTCCTCTCGGGATTTTGGGTATGCACAGAAACGTACCAGTATGAGTTTTGAGCCACTGGGTCCAGGACTCGGACCATGGTTGGCCATATGGGAGTATAGTGACTTAACCATTACACCATCTGCTGGTTCCAGTAATCACCTCACCCTAGGGGAATCAGGTAAAGAATATAAGGAGGTGTGCGGAGGAGGGAAGGGAGAGAATGGTGTCTTCTTTTCTCTTATTCTTGTTAGGGCAAGCTGCCAGCTACACTAACCATTTTTTCCTTTTTCTACTGAACACAAAGCATGTTCTGTTAGAGATCTTCACTGGTAGCAGCTGTAGTTTCCAAAATAAAACATGTATAGAAATAGTTTCTTTTTTAATTTTCTTATTAAATATGCAGAAGAGAGCCATAGATGGTGATAAACATGGTGGTGAAGTACTTGTTCAAGATATTAACTGTTAAAACCTCCAACCTCCCACTCTTTCTTTGAGAGAGAGGGTTTTTGCCTTAGAGTGCATGTGCTCTCTGGACAGAAAGAGAGACAGAGGCAGTGAGCGGGAAAGTGAGAAATCAACCCCCAGGGATGGCCACATGGCAATCTCTTTTTCTCCATTCTCCTCCCAGGATCTTGGGCACATGTACACATGTGCCCTGTGTGAATTTCAAAGTGCCGGGTCTGGGACTTGAATCATGGTTGGGAATATGTTGAGTACAGTGATATAATTGCTATACCACTTAATAGCTCCCCAACCTCACACTTTTAATAAGTAGAATATTCATTTCCTGCTACATGTGTACTAACTAGAACTTGTCTTTTAGAGTTGTAGTATGTATGGATTTGATAAAGTGGAAAAAAAACCCAATAGTATTAATTTGGGGATATGTTCATCTATATGATTAAATGATACTTCATCTTAAGAACATCAGTCTTTTTTTATTTTAAATTTTTTTCTTGTGCATAAGCGTCAGTATTAATATGTATTTATTAATATAAGCAGGATCCTTTAAAACCTAAAAAAGAAATATTTTTAAATAATGTATAAAGTATAGAGACCAGCAGTTGGAGTAATGGCTACGTTGCTGGACTCCCATGTAGTCGACCGAGATTCGAGTTCCAGACCTGGTGGCTTAAACTCATGCTGGGCATGAGAAGGGATTGCGGCGTGGCCATCCTCCCTGGGGCGGGGGGGCGGGGGGGAGTGATTGGGGGGGCGGGGGGGAGTGATTTCTTGCTTTCTATCTCTCTCTCTCTCTCTGTCTTTCTGGCGAGCGCACATGCAGTATAGCAAAAACCTCTCCAAAAAATAAAATAAAATAAAATAAATTTTAAAATGTATAAAGTATACATGTTGGTAATATGCTTGACATAGTTATGTCTAGAAAATTCTGTAAATTATGGAATATGACCATTGGGACTTCATCTGAATCCAAATCCGTCATTTACTGACCCTCAAACTAGGTCAATGAATTCTTATTGCTAAAGCAAATTTATGACCTGCAAACTCTAGTGTCTGCATTGCATGTTTAATACTGGTTGTGTAATTTATGATCATAGCATGGTAAGCATACATAGCAGGCTATAATTCAATACAGAGAAGAGAAACTGCCAGAAAGTAATGACAAGTTTAACTGATGATGCGAGGTTAAAAAAATCGTAAGAGGTAAATTTAATTCTTCATATGTTTTATATTACTAATTTGTTTGTTTTACATTTTTAAAACTTTTTCCTTTGGAATTTGAGAATTGGAGAATCAGAGAATGTAGACACAGTTTTATCCATAATCTGACACAGGATGTTTTTGGGATCACGATGGAGGTTTCTTAATTTCATAAAGTAGGCATCAGAAAAGGAGGATTCTTAGATGGGCTAGAGGTTTTTCTCATCTTTTTGTTTTCCAACATGAGGGGATTATAGTTTAATAGGAAAGAGAAACATTGAAAGAAAGATGGAATGAAAAAAGAAAGGAAAGGGGAACCAGCAGTTAGCGTAATGGCTATGTCGCTGGACTCCCACGTAGTCGACCGCGGTTCGTGTCCCGGACCCGGTGGCTTAAAAATCACGCCGGGCGCGTGTGCGTGCGTGCCCAAGATCCCGAGAGGAGAATGGAGGAGAAGGGATTGCAGCGTGACCATCCCCCCTGGGGGGTGATTTCTCGCTTTCTGTCTCTATGTCTCTCTCTGTCTGTCTGGCGAGCGCACGCGCCCTACAGTGAAAATCTCTCCAAAAAAAAAAAAAAAAAAAGTAAAAAAAATAGAAAGGAAAGGAAAAGCATAAAGAAAAAACGAAGGAAGATCAAAGCTATGATGAGAGCTAGATGAAAAGGGATAAAGAAAGAAAGTTGAAGACAGAGGATGGACAGTCTCCTCCTTTTACTCCTCCAGAAAAGAGTGTCATGTTGTTTTCCTCTGTCCCAGGACAATGTCGCCATAATTGCTGGAGTGAAGATTACCCTAATTTAATGAAATATGGACCATGAAAAGTTGGCTCCTTAATTGGTAACCAGGGATCACAGATAATGTTTTATTATTTTACTTTCAAAGAGCAAACTGGAGTTATAGTAACAATCATATTTTTTTCTGTTATATTTTTGAATAATAACAACACATAATTTAGACTCCTTTTTTTTTTTTTTTTTTGAAATATTTTTGCTATAGGGCTCGTGTGCTCACCGGAGAGGCAGAGGGAGACAGAGAGACAGAAAGGGAGAAATTACCCCCCGGGGGGATGGCCACACTGCAACCCCTTCTCATCTATTCTCTCAGAATTTTGTGCACTAGCACATGGTCCCAGGTCCAGGACTTGAACTGCAGTTGATCATATGGAGCACCTTAACTGCTATGCCACCTACAGGTCCCACAGACTCAGAGATTTCAAAGCTAAAAGTGAGACTACATTTTCCATTTTATGCTTCACATTTCACCAAACCATATTTACTCTGGGCATACACCTAAGATCATATTTTAGAAGTATTTTAGAATGACAATATATTTGACAAGATTTGGTAAATGGTCCATTACATTTCAAATAGTATCTGATACACACATATAACCAAACAGTAAAATAAAACTCTGGAGTTTCAAATGATCTTTCACCTATATTAGAGTTACTGTAAAATGGTGATTTAGCTTAGTGACCTAGGACAGTCTGAAATATGGAAGGTACAATTTGAGAATATTAAAATACATAATCTTTGATAAGAAGAAAGTCAGATCTACTTTATAATATGTATGAGAGGACTTGAAAGAGTCTATGGAGGGCTAGCAGGTGGTACAGTGGTTAAAGTGCTAGACTCCCATGTGGCCAAATGGGGTTTAAGTCCTGGACCCAGCAGTGGCTTGAAACTCATGCCAGGGGTGCGTGTGTGCATACCTAAAATTCTGAAGGGAGAATGAAGAAGGGATTACAGTGTGCCCATCCCCCTAGGAGGTGATTTCTCACTTTCTGTCTTTGTCTCTCTCTGGTGAGTACATGTGCCCCAAAAAATCTCTTTAAAAAATTTAATGGAGAAATTGAATTAAAGTATGAATTCATTTTGGTGCCAAAAAAAGGGAATTTCATGCATAGTTTTTTCATAATACATATTTTCCATAACTTTTGGAAGACCTTTCACATTTGCACATACCTGCTCAGATTATCTTGCTCTGCAACGTCATCATATACCTCTTGGTCATCTTCAATAGGTCTTGATGAAAGAGTACCGAGTGAAGTTTTCTTCCGTTTCAAAGAATCGTAGTCAATCTCTACAGCAGTTGTTTTAATATAACCATCTACCGAAAAAGGAAGATTTTATGTTAAGGCAACATAGTTAATTTTCTTGTTCTTTTCTTTTCTTTTTCTTTTCTCTCTTTTTTCTTTTCTTTCTTTCTCTTTTTCTTTCTCTTTCTTTTTATGAGAACAAGAAAGAGGGAAAGGAAGACAGAGAGAGGTATTTTTGACAGGGTCTTGTGGTATCACCATCTTCATGCCACACCTTCTCAATTACCTAGGATTATAGGCATATAAAACTGATCCTCCCATGTTCAAGTGGACCCAGAAATTGAATCCAGGCCTCTCATGTGGCCTCCAGCCTCCCAAGTCACTTCTTGGGCCCACATAGTTTAAATATTTGAAAGTTGTGAATATAATGTCAATTGTGCATTTGCTCTTTACAATTTCCTTTTATTTATTTGCTTGCATTTCTGATTTATAGACCTTCCATGTAGACATGCATTTTACTATACTTATCCAAGTCTTATCCTATTGTAGTTGTATGAAAACATTGAGTCTATTTTAGCTTCCAAAGTGCCTGACATGAAGGGAATTTTTTCCCTTTTAATATCAATGAGGGACCTAATACTCTTTGTTTCTGTTTGGGATAAAATAAAACTTCTATATCATGGAGCCTGTAGATGGCATAGTGGTTACATCACCGGACTTGCACCTGATTGACCATGGTTCAAGTCCTGGACTTAGTGACTTGAAACTCATGCAGTGTGTGTGTGAGTGTGTGCCCAAAATCCTGGGAGGAGAATGGAGGAGAAGGAATTGGAGCACGACCATCTGCTGGAGGGGGTGATTTCTCACTTTCCCTCTCACTGTCTCTTTCTCTCTCTCTCTCTGATAAATGCAAGTGCCCTAAGGCAAAATGCTTTACAAAAAAAAAAAAAAAGAACAAGAAAACTTTTATATAACATTTCCCACTAGAAAGGTAACACAGAGAGATGAAAATAGAAGTATACTGCCTTTTAAAATCTTCCTACCTTTGTCCATGCTGTAACATACTTCTAATTAGATGCTTATGAGTAGTACTCTTTTTAAAAAACATGTTTTCAAGAGAGAGCATGCACACATGCACATGAGAGAAAGAGAGCGAGAGAGATGAGCACCATTCCACAGGGTCCAGTCATGTCACAATCCCCTTCTTCCAGTCCTCCAGCCCACTGGATCTTGGGCACTTGTGCATGTGCTTGGCCTGTTTTAGAATGACCAGGCCAAGGACTCAAACAACAATCACAGTGTGCGATCTGGCGTGTCTTGAGCAGTGCATCACTGCTACACCACAGAGCTGGCCTGCTCATGAGTAGTTCTGGAAGAATTTGCACATTAAATATTGGTTCAAAATGAAAACACTCTGATGTCAGAGAAAAATGTGTACTCACACGATCCCCTTGTTCTGCCCAACCACTTTCCTTCAGGGTTGTCTGTGATGCGGATTATTTCAATTTCGTCTCCTTGCTTGAAGCTCAGTTCATTCTTCCCTCCTTTGACATCACAGCAAGCTTTTGCTTGATGGATAACTTGAATAGGGCCTGTAAGCTGCAAATAGTAAAAATATCATCACAACAGGCTTCCTTCCTATTCAGAAAACCTTTAAGAAATGCAGTTTCGAAAGATAAAGAGCCCACAATTTGCTAACCTGTCTATATCTCACATTTACAGGTTAGAATTGGAAATTGAGGGGAATGTTATTTCTGGTGAATGTTCTTATAAGGGGGTTTAGGAAAAGCCACAGAGGCCAAGCAGGACCAACAAGGAACAGGTGAACATTTATTTGGGTCCAGGAGACAGAGGCAGGAATTTGTTGACCTTAGGAAGGCTCCAAGGAACTGGATGGGACATGCTAGTGGTCTGTTTGGTAGATAAAGCTGTTTTTCCCTTTTGCAATGTGTAGTTATTCTGATAGTTCTCCGGAGTCCTAAAAAAACCATAGGGCAGGTTACAAGGTAGTGGTAGGTTGCACTTCCAAGAAAAGCACTCCCTCCTTCCTTTTCTTCCTTCCTTCCTTTCTTTTCTTTTTTGACTTTGTGTCACTTGTTTATGTATAAACCTGAAGAAGATATTACCTGTTATAAACAAGATATTTCAGAAATAGCTTTTTAAATTAAAAAACAGCAAAAAATGTTTTGTGAAGCATTTCAAAGTTAATATTCTGCATTGTATTATGGTTTTTTTGGCAACAGGAAATATTCTAGTTTAGATTATGAATCCTAAACTCCTAATTTCCTAATCCTAAATTAATATCCTTTTAAATAACTTTGTTGGATTTTTTTTAATTCATAAATATCCAAATACACATTGTTATTTTTTTTGTAGGGGTTTTTGCCTTATGATGTGTGCTCACCAGAGAGAGAAAGAGAGAGAGAGAGAGAGAGAGAGAGAGCGAGCGAGAGAGAGCGAGAGCATTAGAGGGAAAGTGAGAAATCACCCCTGGGGGATAGCCACGTCACAGTCCCTTCTCCTCCATTCTCTTCCCAGGATCTTGGGCACCCACGCACATGCACCTGCCATGAGTTCCAAGCCATAGAGTCTGAGGCTTGAACCACAGTTGGCCATGCAGGAGTGAGTTCAGCAAAGTAACTGCTGTGCAATCTGGTGGTCCATGCATTGTTACTTTTGAGGAAGCTCTATTTTATGTTATTGAATATGATACCATAAATTGTGAGGCATGTCTTTTTTATTTTTTAATTTGTCAGAAGGCATGTGCTTGTCAGAGAAAGACCTAGAGACAGAGGGAGAAAGAGAAAGTATCTCCTGTGTGGAGTGAGTGCAATCCCATGCCACTTCTCCTTCATTTCTCCATCCTTTTGAGATAGGGGGCATGCATATACTAGTGCCTGGTGTGTTTCTCAAGTTGTCAGGGTCAGGATTGGAACCACCTGGTAAGCCATGTGAGATCAGGCCTCCCTTAATCATTAGTCCATAGGACTGGTCCATGAATTCTTTAGGCCTGCTTGTGAATCCTTTTAGAAATGAACAATAATTTTGTAATTCATAGATATGTATATACCAGCTGAACTTGCTATTGAAAGTAGTTAGATTAATTGATATTTTGTGGATCAATAAAATGTGGGAGGAAATAAAAGGAATGGAAAACAACTGTAGACACCTGAGATAGTGTGGGAGGAAGGTGGGAAATGGCAGAGGGTGAGAAATAGGTATTAAAATATATATATATATATGTGTGTGTGTGTGTGTGTGTGTGTGTTGTTTTTTGATACTAGAAATGGAAAATTATTGATGATAACATGTATGAATAAGCCACTATGCAGTACATTCTGGATGAGAAATCACATTTTGTATGTTGTGACAATGCTCAGAGAATGAATATAAATTAATTAATTTTAAAAAATGTTTCAGAAGACAATTACAGTGCACTTGTCATTAGATTCTAGCTTTGTCTATATTTTTAGTTTAAGGTATTTTGTGAACCAATAAAATGTGGGTAAAAAGTTTAGTATGGAAGGTGGGACCAGCAGTTAGTGTAATGGCTATGTCGCTGGACTCCCACATAGTCGACCGCGGTTCACGTCCCAGACCCGGTGGCTTAAAACTCATGCCGGGCGCGTGTGCGTGCATGCCCAAGATCCCGAGAGGAAAACGGAGAAGAAGGGATTGTGGCGTGGCCATCCCCCCTGGGGGGTGATTTCTCGCTTTCTGTCTCTCTGTCTCTGTCTGTCTGTCTGGCGAGCGCACGCACCGTACAGTGAAAACCTCTCAAAAAAAAAAAAGTTTAGTATGGAAGGGAGAGAAGGGAAAGGGGAAGGAAAAAACAAGTAAAAGTATAGTTAATTGACAAACAAAATGAGAAGCTACTTGATAATGTTATAGAGTATTATCTTTGGCTTGATGGGCATGCATAGTATTTGTGCTGTAAAAAGGTTGTACATTGTAAAGATGTGATTAAATGTAAATAAATTAGTTAAAAAATAAGTAATTCTAAAAAAAAAAATGTAATTCAGATAATCACCCTACATGTATCTGACATATTGGATCTTACCAGATGAGACATGTCATCAAAGATATTATAGGCAAGAGAGAATAGTCCATGAGAGTAGCATTTGGCAGATAGTAATAGAGGTCACATATTACCAGAGAGAGGGAAGACAGGGGTTAGAAATCCAGGGAGACAAAGAGGATGAGAAATGGCAGGTACCAGAAGTCAGCTTGCATATAGGCCTAAAATAGAGGCAAACTTTTGAGCCAGATCCAGATACCAGAAATTAGAGTAGCTATTTCAAGGCAGGTGTGATTTATCCAGGAGACACTTGTGTTTCTTGCAAAAATGCAAAACATGCCATAGAGGTAGCTATGTGTGTAGTCCTAGTCTAAGACCCTAAGGCTAAGATGTAGTACATAATGGGAAGATCAAATATAGGTTTGAGTAACTGAGTATTCATTCTCTTAGTCAACATAAAATTTCCTGGGTGTCCACTAATTCTAAGTCACCATATTTTAATTGGATTTTATTGTCTTACATTTTTTAGTGAAGGAATAAGAAAACATATTGAACAAAACAATACTGTTATAAAGATAGTTACTCTTTAGAAAACAATGACTAGATAATTTTCTAACAATTTAAGGTTCCAAGAAAAGTTCTTTTTTGTGGAAGTTATACAGAGATAGTACTCTTTTACCCATCAGCAAGCAAGCTCTTACTTTAAATTTCTTCTTTATTTCTTGTTCTTTCTTTTCTTTCTCTTTCTGTTCCTTTTTCTCCAGCTCTAATCTCTTCTTTTCCTCCTTTTCTCTTTTCTTCTCTCGTTCTTTGGATGCTTCTCTGTGAATAAAAATTGTTAGGTTGTTTGTTCATGTTCAGGTATGAGTGGCTCAGGGCTGACTATCCACAGAGATTTCTATCTACAACAGAAAGGTATCTTAATGTTGGTAGCTAACACATGTACTTAGGATTTGTTCATTTTACATTAAACTTTGGATGTGTGAATTTTTTAAAAAAAGAAAGAAGGGGGTATCTGAAGTACAAGTGAAGGTAAAATACCAAGGGTTGTCAAAATCCTGATTGTGAGAGACTGTTTCTAAAACCAGTAGGGTGCACACAGCTGAAGATACTTCCCAATAGCTAGCTCTGCTATTCTTTTGATCTGTGCCCCCAGGTGGCAGACACTGTTTACCAAGGTCCTGCCCTTGCTATGCTTTGTGTTGGCATACATGGATTATCTCTCTCTCTCTCCTTCACATACATATATGCACATGCACTCACAGGTACACATGCAAATTTTGATTTAGAAATTTTAGTCTGAATTGGGTAAAAAGTAACTTGGTAGAAAAAATTAATATATCTGAGATCCACATACAAAAAAATAACATTCATTTCTACTTTCATCAACTTTCCAAGAAATTTCTTAATCCTGTGTTACTTAGAAACTCATCTTGAAGTTATTTTTACTCTGTCTACTTTAGCAGGCTGAAACGTTGGCATCTCAATACTGTATTTAATGATTTCTTACAGCACCTCTGTAGGTGAAGAAGTATAATTCCTAGATTTATTCATTTGCTCAAGGACACATTGAAAGTAAGAAATAGAGATTCCTGTCTCTGATTCTCTGCCTGTAGTTCATCTAGTAGGTTGCAAGTCCCTGGCCTCGAACACAACAGCCTTCTGAGTCTTCTGTAGAATCCTTAGAGAAATAAAGGATTATTGGTTCTTTGTATACAAATATGCCAATTGTCATATGCCAATCATTGGAACAAATGAAACCTTTCCTCACTTGGGTTGTAGCACACCCACTCACCCTCATACCAAATACTATATTCATTAAAAGGAAAGTATCATGGTTAAAAAAAATGTAATTCCTACATGTCTTCATATGTTTCTCCTTCACTCTCTTGTTCCTGTCAAGAAAAACATTGATAATTATTAATTTTGATTATTTAAAAATGTACACATCTTACATTAATCGAACACTTAGCAAAATAAGATTTTATAAGTTTATATTCTTTTCAAAAAAATTTTTATTTAACTTTATTTATTTATTTATTTATTTATTTATTTATTTATTTATTTTGATTTGACCAGAAAGGGACAGAGAGAAAGAGAGACAAAGTGAGAAAACAAGCCACCAGGTCTGGGACTTGAACCATGGTTGGTCATGTGGGAGTTCAGTGTCCTTAACTACCATGTCACCTGCTGGCCCCCTAAGTTTATATTCTTTAAGTATATGCAAGTTTGGTGTCTTTAAAATACTTTTTTGTCTTTAGAGACTGACTATAGCAAGCACAAAAGGTCTCTTTTTCTTTTTCCTTTTTTTTTAATTGCTAGTGTATGTGTGTACTAGCCAGAAAGACAGAGGGAGAGAGAGAAAGGGTAAATGCAACCTTCAATGGGGTATGGTGATGCGACAATCCCTTCTCTTTCAATTCTGCATCTGGTCAGAACCTTGGACATGCCAAGCATGTTTTATAGGCTGGTAGGATTGGTATCTGTACTGGCAGTTAGCTATGTGGGATCTGGCTCCTTTAACTACTAGTTATGGGGCTGGCCTGAAGATTTAATTTTTTATCTTGCTATAGAACTCAAATGTGTAGCTTAAATTTATGTTAAACACTACAACATTACTATGAATCAGTGTAATGCTTGATAGTCAATGGCTCAAGCACTTCAGATAAAATAGGATTATAAATGAAAAAATACCATTACTCATAATAATTTTCATTTGTTTGGTTTATACAAAAGGATGTTAATAATAGTAAGTTAAATATTCTAGTTATAGCAATATGACATTAGAAGAAAGAGGAAAAAATAAATCTCACCTCTTCAAGGTTTCCAGAACCTAAAAGATTAAAAAATATAGATTTAATACATTGTAAGTAAATACTTCAATGCAGGATTATTGGATATTATATAATAATATCCAAGACAGTTTGCAATCTAATATAAATTTTTGTAATATCCAAGACAGTTTGCAATCTAATATAATTTTTTTTTTTTTTTTTAGGTGGCTGTCACAAGGTGCATGCCTTTGGCTGGAGAGAGACAGAGACAGAGAAAGAGGAAAGGTAAGAAATCACCCTCAGGGAGGACCACATGCTGCAATCCCTTCTCCTCCATTTTCCTCTTGGGATTTTGGGCACACTCACACATGCCTGTCATTTTTTAAGCTACTGGGTCTGGGACTTGAACCACAGAAACAGCCATGTGGGATCCAGTGCCTTAACCACCATGCTACTTGCTGGCTCCCAGAACTCATCTTTTATCAAAGATGTAGAAGTACAAAATAGGATATGTACTTTAGGTCCTTACAATGGCTTTTTTGATATTTGAACTTAATTACAAAATTGTTTCATTGGCTTTCATAGAATGATGCAAAAAGTGGACTTAGGAGGAAAAGATGTTATCAAAATATCAACTAGTTCACACTTTTTGATTCTTTGAAATAAAAGGATTTGCTTTCTATTCAAGTATTTTTTTATTTTTATTTTTTCCAGACAGGGTCTCACTATATTGCCTATGCTGGTCATAAGTTTGAGGTCTTTCTGCCTGAACCTCCTGAGTAGTTAAATAATATGGATGCATGCTATTATCCCTAGGGGTAGCTGTGACCTAGGTCCTCCATAGGGCCTCAGCATGCCAAATAGCAGGGTCTACCAGCTCATGCTACTGTGACTGCGCCAGGATTTGGTTTCATATACCAAATCAATCAAGTCAATTAGATAAATATGTATGTTTATTACTACATAAGAGTTTAGTGTATTATCAACTGCTTACCAATATTAAAGCATAATATAATATAAAGACAATAATATGACACTATTAAGAGAAATAGAAATAAAAACAGTGTGGTTATAGGTAAACACATAGACCAATAGGATAGAGCAGAGAGCTCAGTGACATACATATACATACTCATATAATTTACACAGACACACACAGAGTTGACATCATATAAAGGTGGCACTATAGATTAGGGAAGAGAACAGGATGGGTTGCTTAAAGTATGGTAATAAGAAAAATGACTTCATATATAAGGCAACAAACCTAGATTTCTACTAACTCCTCAAAGAAGAACTATAAAGGGATCAAAAAGCTAACTGCAAGTGAAAAGATTTGTAGAGAAAAAATAAGAGAATGTTTTATTTTCTAGAAACAAAGACTAACAAAATTTAAAAAGCACAAGTTGCTGAGCAACTAATGAATTCGATTATAGAGAAAATTTATTTATGTTCAACCAAGGTCAGCATGGGTAAGGTCACAGACAATGGAGAGAATGGGAAATGATAGCAATGTCTGAGATCGATACGGAATTAATATATGACATGTAAAGAAAGTTCTGTAAGTCAGCCAGAAAAAGATACCAGCCCGAAGGGAAAAAAATGGTGAAAGAATAGAAAACAGGCAGCTTCTAAAAGAGAAAACCACACAGACTAATAAGTAAATGAAGTGCCCAAATTTAAGAGAAAGAGATATATGAAAATTAAACTCAGATATAATTTTCTACAAATTGGAAAGCAGACTCATGCCAAGTGCTGGTGAGATGTAGGCATGTTGGAATCTCCCTGCCTTGTTGATGCTAATACAGACAGGTACATCTCTTCTGGAGAGCACTCTAGACCTACTCGGTCAAGGTGAGTACTCCATAGTTACGACAGGCATTCCACTGCTGAGAGGTATCTTTGAAGTTTCTCAGAGGCCCACACAGGGTTAAGTACAAGAAGGCACATGCCAGTATTTTGTGGTACTGGTGAATCACAGGCATGTAAAATGTGCATGCATACCGTGGAGTCCCATGTGTAGTTAATAGCACAGATTAAATGTATACATAGTGACATAGATGGTCAAACACACAAAAATAACAAAACACATTATGCTGAGTGTATAAAAAACAGTGACCCATAACATACTGCTTATGTAAGTTAAGTTTATGCCTACCTACTATAATACGCCAAGAATATATATAAACACAGACACGCGTGCACACATACACACACACATTTACTAAACTAAAATATTTGCCTATGGTAACAGAGAAGAAGAAAAAGAGTGGCTCATGGAGATAAAAGGGAATAAAGATTCAGGGCTACCCTGGTTATGGGGCAGCCCTTCTATATTTTCTTCTGGATAATAGTGTTCACCTTCTGGATAACAGTGTTCACCTTCTGGATAACAGTGCTCACTGTATACTTTTCTTAATAAATTTGCTTTACCTTTTAAACAACAACGACAAAAAGCAAAAAAAAAAAAAAAAAAAGAAAAAAAAAACCCAAAAAACAAGTAAAACAAGGGAGGGATCTTGCATGCACCAATGATGATAACCCATTAATAAACCTATGAGAATGATTAACCCAAATTTCTATATTTGCAATAACAAATAAAAATTTTTTTTGTGCCTTCTTGCCTCTTACCATCCATGGGCATGATACCATCTTGATTTTCTTCATTTACAGGGCTCCTGAAAACAAGAAAGAGGAAAAAGTAAAAATGAATCACATAGGTGCCCAATTTACAGTAAAAAAGAAAATAAAATCTTTTTTTGATTATTCTTTTCTCTGAAGTATTTGCTCTGATAAAAAGCCTCAGACATAACTACAATAGGCTTTGTCTTGTATTTATGTGGCTTCTGCAGAAAAAAAAGAATTGGGAAGCTTGAGCACAGCATGGTCTGCATAGAGCAGACACATAAAATTAATCCATTGCTTTAGGAAAGTAATATTTTTTCCATTAAATCAGCAGTAAATCAATAATTCGATGTTGGAATCGGGAAGGCATTTGTTTGATTTTATATATATATATATATATATATACCAACG